TTGGGTTCTCAAAACGCTGTAGCCCAGCAGTTTCCACAAAACTGGGTTGCTGTTAAGGAACTTAAATTAAGTTACCATAATGGGTATATATAGTAAATAATAGGGTTTCCCTAATATAGTAACTTAATTTAAGTTCCTTAAATCCCTATATTCCCCCAGTTTCCATTTCATTTTCCATTTTCTTTTCCATTTGATTCTCCATTATAGGGGGATAATCTAGTAACTTAATTTAAGTTCCTTAACAGCATCCCAGTTATTCGTGATGATTTCCCAACCTAAACCCTAAACCTTAAATAGTAGCTTCCATTTTCTTTTCCATTATCCCCATATAAATCCTATATAAACCCTATTATCCCTATATAAACCCTAGACCTGAAACTATGATTTAAATAGCTTTGCATCTCCTCCTTCCTGATGTTTTTTGTTGTTGCCTGTAGTATCACGGTTGCTAAGCCCTCTACCCCTAAACCCTAGTTGCCCTTGCGGTGATAGGGTTTAGGGTTCAGGGTTTAGGGATTAGGGTTTAGGGTTTAGGTATTAGGGTTCATGGTTTAGGGTTGGTAGCCTGATGCAAGCGGCTTGATCACGCCAGGGCGAGAATCAAGATCAAGACGAAGATGAGGAGGAGGTTGCGGACAATGAGTTTGTGCACGAGGAAGAGGTGGGCGTTGGGGTAGGGAGAAGGGAGTTTTTCAAAATGTCCCCTACAAAATCCTTCGGAAGGACCACATTATCACAATCCCCACATCTTCCTAAGTACTCCCATATAACCCTACACCTTAAGCCCTTTGCATGTGCCTGCTGTCAGGGGTGCCAAAGGCTTAGGCTAAGGTGTCAAGATTCATAGCCCTGCACCATCTGGAGACGGGCGGGCGTTGAATATACATTAGCTATAGTCTACACTCAAAGGGGGTTATATAGGGGATTATTTAGGGGACTACTACAAGGGCTATTAAGGGGAGATACTCGGAGTGTACACTATGGCTCACATGGCTTATAACATCATCCCTTGGGAAACCTGAGGTGTGTGTATAATGTAGGGTTTAGGGTTCAGGATTGAGGCCTCATCCCACTTCGCACCCCTACGCCCTGCTGTTGCCCCGGTGCTGACAGGAAGACTCCAAGTATAGAGATCACTTCCCTTCTCAAAAGTCAAGGAGGAATCAGCTCCCCTTTACCACTTACTCTGCCATGGTGCTTCAGCAGCAACGGACATTCATCCCTAAACCCTAAACCGAGTCTGGGAGAAGGGAAGCGAGGGTGTCACCTATTTGAGACATGACCAGTGACCTAGGCAGAGTGCCTAGACCCCCCAAGTACCCTCTATAGACCCTAAGTATCCCCCAACAGAAGCTACATAGACCCTTTTTTAGGGTACTTGAGGGGTCTAGGTGGTTCCAGGGTTTAGGGTTTAGGGAAGTCCCGATATCAGGAGTCCGCGCGAACCTGGCATCCTCCACAGGATTAGTCACGTCATCTTAGTCACGAAATACATGAGCTATAGTCTACACTCCTTAAAGGGGTGATATACTGGGTTGCTGTTAAGGAACTTAAATTAAGTTACTATATTGGGGAAACCCTATTATTTGCTATATGTACCCATTATGGTAACCCTAAACCCTAAACCCTAAACCCTAAATCCCTAAATCCCTAAACCCTAAATCCCTAAACCCTAAACCCTATATACCCATTAGGGTAACTTAACTTAAGTTCCTTAACAGCAACCCAGGGACGGATGGCACTTCGCCATGGCTTTGGGCCAGAAGTGTCCTGAGAAGTTCAAGGAAAGTTTAGGACTTGGGAGTTTAGGGCTTAGGGGCTTAGGGGTTTAGGGGGTTTAGGGATTTAGGGCTTTAGAGGTTTGGGGGTTTAGGGGTTTAGGGGTTTAGGGTTTTAGGGTTTTAAAAGGGTTGTAAGGATTCCGAGTTTTAAGGTTTTGCGGGTTTTGGGGTATAGCAGGGACCCCCGCGGGCTGTGTAGGGATTTTGCGGACCCTCAGGGGGGATTGTATAAGGATTCGGAGACACTTCCTCTTCGGCTGATTCAGGGTTTAGGGCTTCGGGGTGGTGACATATAGGGGTTGATAGGGGTATAGAAAGAAATATAGACGACAGTTTAGGGTTTAGGGCGGGTGTAGAGCTTGGGGTTGTGGAGTGCGTAGGATCAAGGACTTGGGGTACGAGAGAATATGGTGGTTTTCACTCTCTTGTTGATGTGTATCTATGCTGTAGCAGGCTTAAGACTTCACAGAAAACGCGACGCAAGAATTGGAAAGTGTCTTGGTGCAAGGAGTACATGATGTCGTTCATCACGCAGCCCCCGAGCCATGTAGCGCCGGTAGGTACCCGGGGCAGCATCATCTTGATGAACTTCACGGGCTCAGACCCTGCTGTAACCACACGGAACCCATGGAGGGCCTCCTCTTGCTCAGCAAAAACCTGGGTTGCTGTTAAGGAACGTAAATTAAGTTACTATATTGGGGAAACCCTATTATTTGCTATATAGACCCATTATGGTAACTTAAATTAAGTTCCTTAACAGCAACCCAGAAACGAAGAGCCAGGATGGGTGTATGTCCCATGCTACGAGGTCACGGACCTTAAGCTCGGTCAACTCGAAGCTTCGTTGGGGCACAAACTCGCAGGCTTCATGCTCGCACAGCAGCTGCAGCTGTACCTGGGTTACTGTTAGGGAACTTAAATTAAGTTACTATATTGGGGAAACCTTCGTCTTTACTATGTATACCCATTATGGTAACTGATTTTAAGTTCCTTAACAGCAACCCAGGTACCAGATCGTCGCTAGGCTCCTCCATCCCGGTGGCAGAAGTGCGCACTGCCCACGGTCCCTTTCCTGCAAGGCCCCTCCAAGGCCCACCAAGAACACGGGTGACGTTCATCACTCCCGACAAGGGACAAAGCAGGACATGGGAGCCCTTTGCTGAGAGGAGCCAGATGGTACAGTCGGCCATATCCTGGACGCCTGCACCGCCTGCACCGCTGCATTGGATGCTGGCGCTGCGGATGCCCTGCGCTTGGAAAATCATCAGCGGCTCCTCTGTGAGGCAATGATCCAGCCTGGCCTGAACTTGTGCTATCTGCCCAGTAAGGCCAGGATCATCTCGCAGGGGTAGAACCAAGGCACCATACCTCTCAAAAACAAGGAGCATGTCGCCAAGATGGCTATTGCAAGCCAGAGCGACTGGTTTGTGAAATGCCGGCGGCCAGTGTTTAAAGCTCACCGCTTCTGGCTGGGGCAAGGAAAAGCTCGCCTCATCTTTGGAAGGAGTGTGGAAGATCTGCAGCCACCCTAACCTGGGTTGCTGTTAAGGAACTTAAATTAAGTTACTATATTGGGGAAACCCTATTATATGCTATATATACCCATTATGGTAACTTAATTTGAGTTCCTTAATAGTAACCCAGTAACATGCTGTGAGAGCTCTCGGCTGTGAGAGCTTCTTGGATCGTGCTTGCGGCACCTTGGCGTAGCGCCTCACAGCTGATGTAGACAATGATCCAGGCAAGGCTTGTAACCCAGGCGGCAATCAGCACCAGGCTACCGAGCATCACCTCAGAAACGGGGGACCCGAAAACTCAAACCCTGAACATTATTATAATAGATTATCATACATTAGGGCTTATATTGGGATAATGGAAAATAAAATGGATACTACTATTTAGGATGTAGGCTTCAGGTTCACAATTCCCCAAGCCTCAAAGAATATTGCCGTCTTCATGCTCTTGTCCATCCCCCTGAAGCAGCTACCGGGTTAGATGGACCCTCCACCCTGCAAGGGTGGTATTACAGGAATGTAACCCTAACCCTAGCATGAATCACCCTTGGGCCTCATAGTCACTACTACTGGGTCGGCGGGTCCACCTAATACGTCCCCCTTAAGCGCCGGTAAGAAACCCTAATCCCTACAGAGGACCTATATAACCGTTTTCCAAAGCCTTAGACCCTAAACCAAAACGCTAATTCTAAACCTTAAACCCCAAGGCCTAAACCCTAAACCCCAAACTCCAAACCCAAACGCCGGAACCCCAAATCCTAAACCCTACATCTAAAAACTAAACCCCAAACCCCTGAACCCCAATCTTAGTCCCAAACCCCTGAAACCCAAAAGGTAGGTCACAGTTCGAGCAGGCAAACGCCCGGGCTTCAGCCGAAAGCGCCGCTCATCCCTTCGGCGGTCCTCCGCGTCATCCTGTGTCTGTTGGCTGGAGGGGGTAAGGGCTTAAGGTTTAGGGGTTTAGGGTTTAGGGGTGCTAGAGCCGTAAGGAAGTTAAGGGTGTGTTACAGGGGTTATATATACCTATATGGGTTTAGGGTCTAGAGTTTGAGGGTTGAAGGTTTAGGGTTTAGGCTTCAGGGTGCCAGAGCTTTAAGGAAATTAAGAGTCTCAGTTACAGGGGTTATAGATTTATATGAGCTACTGTCTAAACTCCTAGTATCCCCCTTAATAACCCATATAGTAGTCCCCTATATAATAACCCTATATAAACCCCTTTAAGGAGTTTAGACTATGGCTCATATGGATATCGGTTTAGGGTTCAGGGTTTTAGGGTTCAAGCTTTAGGGCTCTTACAGTTTAGGAGCTCTATGGAACGTAAGGGTGTGTTACAAGGTTATATAACCCTAAGCCCTAAACCCTAAACCCCAAACCCCAAGCCCTAAACCCTAAACCCAAAACCCTAAACAATGGGTTTCGGGTTTAAGGGTTTAGTTCTTAAGGTTGAAGGTTTGGGGTGTAGGGGTTATAGGGCTCATTTTGCGGCTTCCTCAAAATTAGGGCTACCTACATCGGGGCCCCAATAACAGGACTATAGCATATCGGGGTCCATATTGCAGTCCCTCTGTTTAAAAAACGACCATATGGCACACTGAGTTAGGGGTTCAGAGTTTGGGGTGTTAGGGTTTAGGGCTTGGGTTTAGCACTTAGGGTCCAAGGTTTAGGCTCTAAGGCTCCAGCTACCAGAATCACGGAAGCTATGGGGGTGTCCAAAAATCGGGAGTCCCGTTAAAGAGATTCAAATAGGGGTATAGGGATATACAGGGATTTATGCGGCTTAGGGTTCTCAAAACTAGGGCTCCCTTTTACCTCAGTACTGGAGAATTTAGATGCGAAACAAGATGAACAACGAAATGCAAACTGGGATGGTATAGTGGTTTACAGGGATGCAACAAAATCATGACTCAGCTTTTAGGGAACCCCGTATTCAAAACTAGAGCTTTGTAGGGAGCATACTGAACAATGAGAGCCAAGCATCCGCATTTGTGTTGTCTGTCGTAAAGCTGGGATGAAATGTCAGCGTGATGCCTCCTTCATGGGATTGTCGGGGGCGGAAGGCTTTCAAAAAAACAGGGGTACCTGTACTGAGGATTGCTGGGGTATGTGTTGGGGTCTTCCCGTCCTACCCTTAAGGTCAAGGATACTCCAGACCCCTATACAGGCCGAATCATTGCTCAAAGGCAGTGGGAGGAATTCTCAAGGGGCCGGGGTGCTTAAGCGGCCTAAACCCCAGGCCCTAAAGCCCTAATCCCTAAACCTGAAGAGAGTGAGTCGTTTAGGATTTAGGGTCTAGGGTTTATAGTCCCCCTTAAGTAGATAGAATATGGCTTTGGATATAATATAAGGAGATCCCCATATACCCCATATTCTATCTACTTAAGGGGGACTATACACCCCTAAACCCTAAACCCTAAATAGTAGCTTCCATTTTGTTTTCCATTATCCCTATATAACCCCAATATTAACCCTAACCCTACTTAAGGATAGGCGCACCTCAGGCTGTTAGGGTGGGTATTCCCACGGCTCCTGCTTCACCAGCTTCACCAGCGTCCCCTTCTTCGCCATCACGTTGCGGGCAGTGCCGTTGCAAGAGGCCCACCTTACTGGTTGCGGGTTTAGGGCTTAGGGTTCAGGGAATAGGGCTTAGGGATTAGGGTTGGGGGTTTAGGGTTTAGGGGTTTAGGGTGTAGGGATTTAGATGTTGGGCTTGGGGTTTAAGGTTTAGGGCTTAGGGAGTCTAGCGTTGAAGATTTGAAGAAGCAAGGAATGGAAAAGAATGGAAGCTACGCGACATTATTTGGGGTTCGTTAAAATTTTAGGGTTTAGATAGGTTTAGGTTTGGTTGGGATTGAAGAATTGGGTTCGAAGAACTATTATAAATGACTACCAAGGTGGTTTATTTCCCCAGTCCCTAATTACTAGAAACCGGTAATCAAGAAAGGTTACCTAAACCCTAAACCCTGAATCCTAAACCCTACACCCTGAACCCTGAGCCCTAAACCCTGAACCCTAAACCATTAAGCCCTAANNTAAACCCCTAAACCTTACACCCTTTTACCCTGAAAACTGCAACCCGAAAAGTCTTGGCCAACATGGGCACCGCACATCCCCTGTACGATCCTATGCACTGCCAAAGGGTTTCTTGAAAGGATTTCAAGGTTTAGGGTTGGGGTTTGGG